TAGTGTCTTTATTCTCACCGTGGGTTGCACTGGAATTCAGCTCTCTAGAATTCCAGTAACTTTTCCATGGGATCACACATGGAAACTTCCCGGGCCTTGACAAGGACTGAGCAGGGCTCTCTATAGCTGGTGTCCTGACCAGCTGTTAGTTGACTGTAGCCGATTCCCATCTTCGTATCCATACTACCCAGAAGCAGAGAGCATCTCTCTGTTGAAACTTGACAGACTAGAACCCAAGCCTTGCCCTGATTGCAAGAAGCTGGGTCATGGAAGGGTGATGGAGAGAATTACGGCGACTGGCTGAGGGGTCAATACAGGTTCACTCTTAGCGTTGAAGACAGAATTATATGCAGGGAACAAACACTGGGAGGCACCAAGCAGTGCTCCCTGCTCACATTTCCTTTTCTCCCTGGGCCAGTTGACTTGTAATTTCCTGAGTCAGTGCCCAGATTCCTCACAATAATCCTATTTCCAAATAGGTTTGTTTGGAGCCAGGGATATAGCTCAGGGGTACAGTGCCTGCCTGGCAAGCACAAGGTCCTGAGTTCAATTCCCAGTACCAAAATAAATAAACAAACAAATAGGTTTGGGCCGGGTGTGGTGGCACACGCCTGTAATCCCAGCACTTGCGAGGCTGAGGCAGGAGGAATGTTGTTTAGAGTTTGAGATCAGCCTGGGCTACAAAGTGAGCTCAAGGCCAGCCTGAACAGTATAGCCAGACCCTGTCCCAAAAAGACCAAAAAAACCCACAAACAAACAAACAAACAAATAGGTTTGTTTGTTTGTTTGTTGTGGAGAAGGACATTCTTTGATTAGAATGCATTAAGGACACAATGATTTGTTTAACCCTGAGTTTACAATCCTCCTGTCTCAGCCTCTTGAGTGCTGAGATTATAGGCGTGTCTTGGGTGCTGGGATTACAGGTTGTCTTGGATTGCATGTGGAAAAGGATAATCCTTTGATTATCTTTGCTAAAAGGTTTGGTATTCGCCCATTAGTACTAGCTATGCCCTAGGTTCTCACTCAGTAAAAGGTCACTGAAATTGGTATTCCAGGGGCTGGGGATTTAGCTCAGCGGCAAAAGCGCCTGCCTGGCAAGTGCAAGGTCGTGAGTTCAGTTCCCGGTACTGGAGAAAAACCAAAAAAAGATAAAAAATAAAAAAAAATTGGTATTCCATGCTGCAGTCCAAGAGGCTGTAAGCCCCCTGATCCCAGACTTTTGCCTCTCTTTTTCTTGTCTCTCTTTTATCATCCTCAGGCACCTCATTCAAGGGATCGGACACACTGGACAGACTGACAGTTTGTCACTGGGGATTAAACCCAAGGCCTTCCCACTGATCTATGTCCTCAGGGCAATTTTTTTTTTTTTTCCCAGACAGGAAAGTTCACAAATCTACCACTTAAACAGACTGTTATGGTTTGTGCCTAGATGTCCCCCCATATATTCATGCAGTCATGGGGCAGGCTTCTAGAATTTGTGATTGATCCATGGTCCAATGCTGGGATTATGGGTGTGAGTGCTACACCCGCCCAGGGGCGGGTAGTTCGAATACAATGAAAAGGAGGGAAAGAGGCTGCTTGCTGAGGCTCCTCCTTTTTGCTCTTGCTGCTTTCGCTGTTTTTCTGCCGCCATGAACTGTTGCTCTCTGCCATGTGCCACTCTGCCTTGGAGCCAGCCGAATATGGACTGAAACCTCCACACACTGTGAGCTAAATAAACTCTCCTTCCTTAATTTTGCACGTGCGTATTTTGTCTCAGCAACAAGAGAAAAGTAACCAAGAAACAGACTCAAACTGAACTATGCAGTTCAGGCTTGTCTTGAAACTCACTATGTAGCCCAGGCTGGCCTCAAACTCACATTGATTCTGCTGCCTCAGCCTCCCGAGTGCTGGGATTACAGGCATGTGCCACTATGCCCAGCTTCATTTAATTTGTTGACAGTACTTGCAGCACTCTTAAATCCATCCATATACTGATCATTTTTGTTGCTGCTGTTTCCTCCTTTTGCAGTGCTGGGGGTCAAACCCAGGGCCTTGAGCAAGCTAAGCATGTGCAGTACCTCTGAGCTACACATTCACTCCCAATAAATTGATCCAGCGGCTTGAGATTTACATCACATCTTTTTGCTAATGGGTGATGAAATACTTAAACTCAGGACTGAGGGCAGCTGGAGGAACACCAAGAGGACTGAACTCTCCTTGCTGGACCAGACTCAACATCCAGGCTGTGGAATCCACCAGTGGATCCAGAGGCCTGGGAACACATCTCCAAGTCGGCCTCCCTGCCTCCTGCTTACTCTCTTACGTGCACGGGTCTCAGAGGCCTGCAGGCTGTGGAAGAGGCTGACACAGACACAGCCACTAAAAGGCCAAGATGCAGGGGTCCAGAAAGAGGGCAGGAGGCCAGTGACTTGGGTGAAAAAATGCTAAGATTGGGGCTATTTTAGCCCAGAGAAAAACTAAAAATGTTCCCTCAATCTTTCCTTTGCCTCCTTCCTCCTCCCCCTGTCTCTTCTTCTTCTGTGTCTTCTCTCCCTTTGCCTCCATTACTTTCTTTAATCCAAAATAAATTCAAGAAGAGGACATGAAGCAGATACTGTTATTAATATTTGTAAATGTGCTTAGCTGAGAGGCTCAGAGATGAAAGATGAGAACAAAACCGCATCTCCATTCTCTCCATCTGGGCTGCTAGGTACCAGCCTCCCACATGCCTAGGCAAAGGCAGAGGGAGAGGCCAGCCCGCTGGCACCTGCCCTGCCCCCCTCCCCATTCCTGGCCTCGTCTTCCTGTGACACCCACTGAACAGATGGGAACTCCTTTCCAGCGTGGGGAAGGGACTGCCCTCTCCTCACCTGCTGGTAGTATTCCTGACACTCTGCACACTGTCTGTGATGGTTAACTTTAATTGTCAATTTGATCGGCCAGGGAGCTGCCTGGGGGATTACTGAAGCACACTTCCGAGCATGCCTGGGTGGGTCATGGAGGCCTGGCCTTGGGGACTGGACCTGGCCCCAGACCCTTCCTCTCCAGCACTGCTCCCCTGCTCTGCTTTCTGGCCACCGTGAGCTAAGCTCCTTTGCTCTGCCAGGCCCTTCTGCCACAGTGTTCCTGCTTGGGCCATGGACTGAATCCTCTTAAAATGTGAGCCAAATGAAGCCTCTCCTCCTTTAAGTTGGGGGTATCAGGTATTTGGTCCCAGAAACAGGAAAGCTGACTAATACAGTGCCCCACCACTGGTCCAGGGGCCCTGAGATGGCCCAACCATCCTGCCTCCTACCTCTCCTGTGTGCAGTTCCTTCTGCCGGGGAAAACACCCTCTTCTTCCCCTCAGGGCCTGGCTGTCTGCTAACAGGTTGTAGGATTCAGGGAGGCCCCTGCCCTAGGAATCTTCTTAGGTGATCATAGTCTCAGGGAGGAACTGTCTCTGACTGCTCATGCTCCCAGCCCTCGCCCACTGAGGGCCACCCTGGTTGGTTCTGTCATCCTGTGGTCCAGGCAGCTTCCCAAGGAAGGCAGGGGTCAGTTCTCACTTATCTGTGTCTCTGACCCCTGCAAGGTTCTGGCTCCAGGGACCAGGCCTGAGGATGTTGGTTGACCAGACAGCACCTGGAGCTACGATGGGCACTCCTCTCAGCCGTGTGTTCTCTGCATGAGGTCTGGTAGGGGGAATGGGTGGCTATTCTTGGCAACTCACAGTGGTAGTGTGGGCTGAGGATGGGGAGCAGATCCTGGAACTGAGTTCCAGTCCTGGCCCTTCTGCTGGTGATGTGCGATCTCAGAAATACGCTGGCATGAGCTCTGGCCTTGGTTTCCTCACTGCCCTTCAGCCCTGTCCTGAACTAGCAGCGGCTTACCAAGAAGACCAACTGCAGGGGCTGGGGATTTAGCTCAGCGGCAAAGCGCCTGCCTGGCAAGCGCAAGGTCGTGAGTTCGGTTCCCGGTACCGGAGAAAAACCAAAAAACCAAAAAAAAAAAAAAAAAAAAAAAGACCAACTGCGAGCACACCAGTCCCTCACAAATGCTCTTAAGGACTCTGATACTAGGATCACCTACTGCCTCTTTGGTAGCTAGAAAGGCATATCCTCTCTACCTTATCTTCTCTATTCACCTTGCAAAATGAGCCTTCCTGAGCTGGGCATGGTGGCACACGTCTGTAATCCCAGCACTTGGGAGGCTAAGGCAGGAGGAAAGTAGAAAGGTTGAGGCCAGCCTGGGCTACAAAGTGAGGTCAAGGCCAGCCTGCACTGCAATAATGAGACCCTGCCTCAAAAAGACCGGAAAAAAAAAAGAGAGAGAGAGCCTCTCTGCACTGTTTTCTCTGCCCAAAATGCCCTTCCCTGGGACACCTGGTCCCAGCCTCCACTCCTTTCAGAATGTCCTCTGAGCAAGGCCAGCTTCGATAGCCCCCACCCCGTTACAGGTGGAAGCCAGTTCCTCCCAGCTCTGGCTCTGGCGTCTCCTGGTGCCCACCATAGCCAGTCCACTGATTCATAGACTGCCAAACAGGGAGGGCCAGGGATGTCCACTCGTCCCAGCTACTTGGCTCTCCTCTAGTACCCAGACAGACCCATGCCTGGCCCTGATGTCACACTGCAGGCTGAGGCACAGACAGAGAGGACTTGGGACCCTTGTGTCAGCCAGGGAATCTTGACCTATGGGCCAGGGATTGAAACCCAAGTTGCAGCTGTGCTCGGGCTGAGGCGTCAGCTTCCCAGGCTGAAACCCTGGTGCTGTCCCACAGGCAGTCTTTGCTCTGGGGCCTGTCAAGTGGGCTGTGTCAGAGCATTCCTAGGCCCGGCCACCGGCCGCTTCTGGGCTGGCCAGCCCCAGCCACACCACACCAGCCCTCATCAAGTACTTCCATTCCTGAGAAAGTAGAAGTCGTGGCTTCCCTTCATTTGACCCACCCCTCCTCCCTTCTTCCTGCAAACTTGAGTCACAGTGCCTTGTCAGCCGGGGCCCTGGGGAGATCTGAGTCAGCCTGGCTAGGGTTCCGGTCCCCGCACCACCTCTACCAGCTGAGACACCCTGCGTAACCTCAAACCGTGTTGAGCCTCCGTTTGTTTCATATCCATGACTTGGAGGAGTGAAGATGCCTTCCTCCTGGCAGGCACAGCGGAGTCCCACTCATCTGTGCAGGGCCGTGACACACACGAGGTGCCCAGTAACCCGAGGCCCCGAGCGAGCCCTTCCTGAGCACTTCCACATGCCGCCACATCTGCCCTTCACAGCAGCCCAGGGAAGAAGGGCTCAGCTCCACCGTGCCAGCGAGGAAACGGAGGTACCGGAAAGTGGAGACACTTGCCACTTGTCACAGTGGGCTAGTGAGTGGCAGGCAGAGGGTGGGGAGTCTGAGCCCAGAGACTGTCCTGCCTTGCCCCTCCCCTGGTGGGGCACTGGGGACCCTTCCCCACCCACACTGTGCTGAGAACTCTGTGGTGTTCAGCTGGCCAACGCGTGGAACACCGGTACGAGGGGGAGAGTCTGAGGGCCTCATTTCACAGATGGTGAGTGCCAGGGCCTGAATACAGGTGGGCCTCTTGAAACTCATGCTGAAATTTGACTGTGACTGAGGCATCGTTGGAGGAAACAACCTTGAAGAGGCGACTTGGCTAATAAGAGGGATTCCCTGGGGCACACACCTGTAATCCCAGCACTTTAGAAGGCTGAAGCAGGCTGAGGCAGGAGGATTGAAAAGTTCAAACCCAGACTGGACAACTTGGTGATTTACTGAGACCCTATCTCAAGATAAAAAAAAAACATAAAAGGACTGGGAATATAGCTCAGTGCAAAGGCCCTGGGTTCAAGTCCCAATACCAGGGGAAAAAAGGGGTAAAATGCCTTTTCTGCAGGACTGGGTTAACTCCCCCATAGTGAGTGAGCTCTCTCTCCCATGGCACTGGGCTAGTTACCGAGAGGGTGGGTTGTCCTACAGCAAGGTAGCCCCTCACGTTTTGCCTCTTCTCAACCTGGACGCTTTTCTTTGTACCAGGAATCAAACTCATGACTTCAGGCTCGCCAGGCAAGCGCTTATGCCACTGAGCTACATCCCCGGCTACCTGGATGCTTGGGCTCCACTTTTCACCATGAACCAAGCTTTCTACCATGAGCTCAAAGCCCTCAAAGGCTGTGATCTCAGACTGCCCTACCTCCCAGGACACATGCACAGAGCAGTTCCCAGAGCCCTGCACGTGGGCTTCTCCCGAGATCTCAGCAGGTTTTGGACAGCAGGCCTAGACCTGAGATCCGCCTGAGAAGTGAGTGAGAGGTCAGCCCCCTTTCGGACTGTGCCACTGTACTCTCTTCGCACGGCGCCACTCTCCTGCCCTAGAGACACTTCTTTCCCTGCCTCATGTGGCCCAAACTTGCTCTGCAGAGCCTGTTTCTTTTCCTACCTTGAATAAAACGTTGGTACTGTTTCTGCTTGTCTTGACCAGTTCTTTGCTCAGGACAGACAAAATCCAGAAACCATCTCCAGAAAGAGACCTCACCACCCCAAAATCTGGTAGTAGGGCTGCTGGGGGGGCAGGGAAGTGCTCTAACACTGTCAGCCTTCTAGACCAGGGCCCGTCATCGAGTGTGCCTAGTCAGAAGTCTTAGGTCAGCGTGCAAGGGAGTGGTGCGATCCCGAGGGACACGTGACTGTTGCAGGGAGTGAGCGCATGGAAGGTGTGGTAAGAGCGACCTGTCCCCAAGCAATGGGCTGGCAAAACCCTTATGCCGTGCAGCCTGCACTACCCACTGTCCCACTCTGAATCTGGTTTCCTCTTAAGCGACACAGGAGCACTGTCCCAGCCTTCAGAAGGTCCGAGAATGTGAGAAGGGTCCCACCTGGGCTCCCCGCCCAAGGAAGCAGAGCATGTGCCAATCAGAACTTCCTGTACAGGAAGAAGCCACAGGAGGCAGGCACAGTGCCCACGCTGGAACCACAGGGGCTCTCAGGAAACCACATCAGGGCCACCGCAGTCTCACCACCCATGGGGACTTCCGCTGAGGCCTCTCCCAGGCCAGGGTCTCCAGCACTACGGGCTGCCTCTGCTACATGCCTGCCCAGAAGCTGAAACCTGGGGATACTGCCGAGGGGACTCCGCAGGGCTTCCCTGCGCCCGGTGGGGCTGCTTCCAAAGGCCAGATTCCAGGTCCTACACCCCACGGTCAAATTCCAGCCGCACCGCGGGACCTCGGGCAATCCCGGCACCCACGCCCGGCCGGAGTCACTCCCCGCGACCGCCCCTGCTCCGTCGGGCTCGGCTCTCCGGCCGCTTTGCGGGAAGGGACGCCCTGACCATGCCTGGGGACCGGCTAAGCTGTGTGGCACCCCGGCTCTGCGCCCGGTACTTCCGCCACCACCCGCATCTCCTCTCCGGCAGCCCCCACCCACGCACCTAGCTCGCCTCCTGCCAGCAAGCGTTCAGCGAGCGCCGGCTGACTGGAGCAGCTGCCTGAACCCCGGCCCTGCTGAGCTCCTCGCCCCGACCTGGGCTTAATACGCCCGAAGCTCGGGCACGAAACGCGGAGGCGGCGGGCGCGGCGCAGGCGAGGCCCTGGCTCCGGG